TGAGAGTGTGCAGAAGTAACACTATCTGCAGAACAAAAGACTGCATTTAGGTCGAAGGCTGCTGTAAATCAAACTCTGGAGGCTGCATTAAGATGACAAAACAACAGTGAAGAAACAGAAAGAACTTGTTCCGAGTGCATATTTAGTTTAAATTAGAATCCAGAAAACAAAACAAAAAATAAATCAAGAACTCATCAGCTTACAAGGAATACAAGACTAGAAGAACACAAGGGCTATAAATACACAGGGAGGTAAATGTACAAACTACAAAACACCTGTAAAAAAAAAAAAAGAAGACATCAGAAAACAATGCTGCCTCAAATACACCTGGGAAACTCAAACCTCTGAGTCAGGCATTCACTGTTTAAGACAAAAAAAGTCATCTAAAAAAAAGGACCATCTAACAAAATGCATTTACTGTGCACCTTATTAATTCACATGGTATCTAGCAGAAACATTTCGTTTTCATATAGCAAACCATGAAAAGTAACTAATTGCACATTTAAAGGAATAGTCCACCCAAAAGATGAAAATATGCTCCACCTCAGGACATCCAAGATGCAGATTAGTTTGTTTCCTCATCACATTTGGAGAAATGTAGCTTTACATCACTTGTTCATCAATGGATCATCTGCAGTGAATGGGTGCCATCAGAATGAGAGTTAAAACAGCTGATAAAAACATCACTATAATCCACAAATACTCCACATCACTCTAGTCCATCAATTAACATCTTGAGAAGCCAAAAGCTGCACGTTTGTGAGAAACAAATCGAGCATTAAGAATCTAAAAAAAAGGACCATCTAACAAAATGCATTTACTGTGCACCTTATTAATTCACATGCTATCTAGCAGAAACATTTTGTTTTCATATAGCAAACCATGAAAAGTAACTAATTGCACATTTAAAGGAATAGTCCACCCAAAAAATGAAAATATGCTCCACCTCAGGACATCCAAGATGCAGATTAGTTTGTTTTCTCGTCACATTTGGAGAAATGTAGCTTTACATCACTTGTTCATCAATGGATCCTCTGCAGTGAATGGGTGCCATCAGAATGAGAGATAAAACAGCTGATAAAAACATCACTATAATCCACAAATACTCCACATCACTCTAGTCCATCAATTAACATCTTGAGAAGCCAAAAGCTGCACGTTTGTGAGAAACAAATCGAGCATTAAGAACTTTTAGCCTCAGACTGTTGGTTCCGGTTAAAATACGTATTGCTTCCTCCAGTGAAAAAGTAATCTGGTCTGAATCAGGAGAGAAATATGAACAGATAAAGCACAGTTTAAAAGCAAAAACAGTCCAAAACAGCTCTAAACGAATATGTGGGTGGATACAAGCACAGTTTAAAAATGTCTTAATGATAGATTTGTTTCTTACAAACACTCAGCTATTTGCTTCACAAGACATTGATGGACTTGAGTGGTGTGGATTACTGTGATGTTTTTTATTTTTATTTTGTATCACCTCATTATGACTGCACCCATTCACTGCAGAGGATCCATTGAGTGTTTAATCAGGTTACTGTCACTATTACTATTAATACTATTTATTTCCAAAACTGTAGCACACAAGTCGTCCCACAGAGTTTGTTCTACAGATTGATTGAGGATTGAGGAATGATTCTTTAAATCATGCAGCTTGCAAGGGAGGTCTGCTTTTACTTTTCTAAGCAATAAGGCTTACGATTTTTGCCCAGGGCCATTACAAGAATATATTGATTGAGTTTTCTAGGAGGTAAGGTGGTGTGCACACTTTATGATCTGACACATCAAGGCAACAACATACTGTATGAAGCAATAACCAACACCAACATAGGCTGTAAATAATATAGTGATATTAGAAAAAAAAGAAAAGAAAAAAAAAGTGTATTCAATTTTCACCATCATTTTCATGTGCAGAGGGTGAAATGCAAAGCATTGAATTCTTAAAAATCACAGTCCTTCATTGTTATTTCATTATTTTCTTGATTGTAACACAAATGGAGATATGGCAATAATGAAGCGACCAAAACATGGGACAAAAAAAATAAAAATCTTCAAATTCTAGCTCTAGCTCTGGACATTCGTAGATATTTGTGAAAAAACGAAGGAACGAACGCATACATACAGTGGGGAAAAAAAGTATTTAGTCAGCCACCAATTGTGCAAGTTCTCCCACTTAAAAAGATGAGAGAGGCCTGTAATTTTCATCATAGGTATACCTCAACTATGAAACGCATACATACATGCATACATAAATGCAAACATCCCAGGTTACGTATGTGACCATGGTTTCCAGAGGGAACGAGATGCTGCATCAGAAAACGCTTTGGGAATGCCCCTGTGTGCCCACACTCTGAATCACATGTGAAATCAGTCCAACGGAATGGCGAAACATCACGGGCGGAGTGGCGTAGAGACCATAGAGCTTAAAAGTGCATCCAAAACAAGCAATGTTAGCTTCTGATAAGCTGAAACAAGTCACTCACAGGGATGCAGGAATTATGGCAAAGAGACGCAGCATCTCGTTCCCTCGGGGAACCATGGTTACACACGTAACGTGGAACGTTCCCCTTCGGGAACTCACGCTGCGTCGGAAAACTCTTTGGGAACGAGAATGCCAACGGCCCCATACTGACAAATGCCTGTCTAATGTGAAATCATGGCGAACACAGCTAAGACAGACGCACCTGAGAATCTGGTACCATACTTATCCTGGCCTCACAGACCGAAAGAAACATGTACCAACGGGTTTCACCCCCAATGACTGACCACCCAAAGGGACGTGGTAAGCAGCCATGGCCGCCACGAACACTCTAAAGGTGGAGGGGGTCAAACCTGCGGAGAATCGTTCCTGCAGGAACTGCAGAACTGAACGAACTGTGCAGTTAACTGGGACCATCTGACGATTTCTGCACCATGAAGTGAACACAATCCACTTCAAGGAGTATAGTTTCCTTGTGGAGGGAGCTCTGGACTGGAATATTGTCTCAACAACCTCAGTTGAGAGACCGGAAGTTATGAGTTGTGCCCGCTCAGGGGCCACACCCAGAGTTTCCATAACTCCAGACGGGGGTGAAAAGATGGTACCCACGCCTGAGAGATGGAGAACCTCTTTCGGCGAACTCTCTCCAGAACTCCCGAGAACAGAGCAATCGGGGGGAGGAAGGCGTACAGACGACGCCTCGGCCACGTCTGTACCATGGCATCAAGCCCAAGCGGATGTGATGTGAGGGAGAACCACAGGGAACATTGTGAGGTCTCTCGAGACACAATCAAGTCCACCTGGGCTCACCCGAACTTCTTCCTAATCTGCTCCACCACCTTGGTGTGGAGCTTCCATTCCCCGGGCCTCAGCCCCTGCCTTGACAGGAAGTCTGCCTGTTGATATAAGAGACCACCGCTGTGTTGTCTGTATGAACCAGCACATGATGGCCTCTCAGGTCTGGGAGAAAGTGTTTCAGAGCCTGAAACACGGCCAGCATCTCCAGGCAACGTGCCACGTGAGATGGTGACCTCCCCATATACTCTGGGCAGAGCAGCCACTCATGACCGCTCTCCAGCCCGTGAGGGAGGCATCCATCATTCCTCTGAATTAAATGCAGCCAAACAAACCAGACAAGTCAACACGGTCTGATTATAATATAAGATGCAATATAAAAGAATCGTGAATAACAGCCTGCAAACACATTTATACATTTGCACGCGTTTGGGGGAAAGAGTGAGGGAAAAGGAACCTTCCATCTGCTCACAGTTTCCCCCGGAATTATTTTGCTGCAAACCCTTGGCAACACGCGAGCCACTTGTTTCTACATTGTATAAAACTTTCTTCCCTGGAAAAGAAACGCCAGCAGGAGCAGAGCTAAACATCTAAGGTAATGCATTTTCACTTGTACACTTAGGGTTAATTTATGAATGAACACAGCTAACCCCCTCGAGAGCTGACTGCGCGTGCTCCGCTCCAAAACAAATCACACATCCCCACCCCTTATTATAGCAAGGGCAGGGAGAAACGAGCGATCTAAAATGCAGTATGTTTTTTTATATGCAAAAGATTGAGATGGCGAGTCCTCAATCTCATCACAATAATGCTAACAACATCAACCTCCTCGGAGGAAGATCCCACTCCCAAACAAACAACACAACGACCTCGTGCATTCACACCCGTAAAGTTTAGCGCGGGAAGAGAAGAACACACGGTCTAAAGTGATGTCTGTAGCTCGCCATAAAGAGGTGATTGTGCACTCTAATACAAACAACAGTAAATAAGACTGACACATTTCACACAGAGCGCTTGCTGAAAACACAGAAGCTAACGTTGCTTGTTTTGGATGCGCTTTTAAGCTCTCTGGTCTCTACGTCACCCTGCCCGTGACGATTCGCCATTCCGTTGGACTGATTTCACATGTGATTCAGAGCGTGGGCACACAGGGGCATTCCCAAAGTGTTTTCCGACGCAGTGTGAGTTCCCAAAGGGGAACATAAATTCAGAAATGTGTAGCCATACTTTTGACCAGATATTTTTCAGAGATTAAGATGTTTCAGGAAAATATAGTTAATGCAGTACTTTTTTATGCAAAATAAGATCTGAAGGTCTTCTTTTTAAGCCAATTGGGCAATTCATATTAAATGTGAAACAAGACACAGTAAGACCCTCTGGAGTCATAAAGATGGAGATGGAAATGCGCCTCGGCAGGTTTTGAAGTTGTTGATGTTATGCTGTGATGTTTTTAGCTCTTACATCCAGCTGCTAATGAATCAATAATGCATAGTTCATAGTGACCTGTTTCATACAAGGGGTTTAAAGTACCTACAAATTACTCAATAAATGTGCAAGTATTTGGCTAAAAACATACTTGAGTGAAAGTAAAAGTGCAACTTCAAACTGCACTTAAGTATTAAAAAAGAAGTACAAATCCCTGCAACATAATACCAAAGTACAGTAATCCGGTAAAAATTACTCAGGTATTTTACACACCTGGTTTGATGTGATCTGTATCTGTCTTCAGGTGACTGAGACACGGACGGGTCCACTCGGCTGCAGCACGTATGATAATCTGGACTCTGTCAGTTCTGTTCTTCTTCAGAGCCCAGAGAGCAAACTCCATCTGCAAGGTATGTGACTCATGCATTTCACTGTGGTTTCAATTGATTGTGTTCACACTGCACCCAATTCAAGTTTGCATTGCCTGACTGTCTGCACTGTTGTTCTGCTACAAGCTCATTTGAGTTAGAAATACCCAAAAATCTAATGAGAATTGACAATTGATTGTATACCTATACTAGTGACAGATAACAAGGAATAATGCTCAGTATAGCAAACTTGAACATACTGTAATGACTGGTACGATTCAGAGTGAAATATGCTTAGATGTCAGATGTCAAAAACCGCAGCGGGATGTATGTGTGAATAGAGCGCACAGAATCCCAAACGTTTAAGGGTGCTGACAGCTGAGTTTATCACAGAGATTTTTAGGGGGTCTGAGATGAAAGACAGGCGTCTGAAACCTCCCTAAACAGGGTCTAGCAACACCTAGGATTTGCATAAATTACTTTTTGAATCCATCGTCAATCCAGCTGCTTGTGTGTCAAATTAAAAGCAGACAAAAAAAGTGCAGAAATGTTTTCCTTACAGCATTTACATATGAAAAACATCATTATGTCTTTATAATTATTGTCTATCAGAAAACACTTCTTTTTTTTTTTTATTTTACTGTGTGCACATCTGCTGTATTGACACATGCTTTAGAAGAGAGAAACACAGTTGCACAGCTGCGACGAGATGCGCCTGCAGGGAAAATAAATGTGTATGAATCTGTCTGGCTGATAATACTAGAGGTTACACAAGATGTGCTCACCAAGGATGGGAACTGACAGAAACATAACCAATTCTGTTCTTTAACATTTACAGTAATGACTTTTAAGATTGATTACTTTTAAGAAGTATTTTAGTTATTTTTCTTTTGATTTATATATTGCATTGTATTGTTAAAAATGTTTTAAATTATGAATATATATATTATTTTCTTAAAATACGAATGTTTATTTTGCATTGTACTTAGGAAAAAAAAACAATAATGTACTTATTTGTATTATATTTTTAATTGATTCCATTCTAATTTATGAATCACATTAAATTATATATTGCATTGTGTTGGTTTATATATATATATATATATATATATATGTATATATACAACAGTTCGTTCTGGTTCTCAAATCTGATTGGTTGAAAACCGTGAGATATTGTACTGGTATCGCTACAGGAACGCCCTTTCACAATTTTGTATCACTC